GTTAATAACCAGGCCAGCATGGCAGAAAGGCAAAGCACTGACACGCAGGGCTCTGGCTGGCGTCTGCTTCAGCCAGCAGCCTCAGAGCAGTGAGCCCTCACCCGGTGGTGTAGGGAGCTGGGGCTATTTGGGTACAGCGATGATATTTTTCAGGTAAGTAAAGAAGCACAGAACTTGTGAGGAGGCACTGGGCGGGCTTAGCCAGCCCCCCTGACCTCCCAGGCCTGAATCCTGCCTGAGAATACAGGGAGGTGTGCGGGAGCTCTCCTTGGTGCTGAACTGCTGGTGGCCTGTCCCCGAGTGTTCTCAGGTCACAGGTATTGCACATCCTCCGGTATGTGCTCTTCCCCAAAGTGAGGGCCTTGCTGTCACCCCAGGGTCCCTGAAGAGAGCAGATCTGCCACAGAGGCTTTGAACCTGCTACAGTTCAGATATGGATCGTGTCCTCCCAGAGGCTCAAGGGTGGTTGAAAACTTGGTCCTCAAGATGGTAATTTTGGCAGACGATGGAACATTTCACAGGCAGGGTGAAGGAGGAGGGCTTGCTGTCAGAATCAGGGCCACTGCCATCCTGTGGGGCTGTGAGAGTTCAGTCCACTCTGCTTTTGGTTTGAATGCATTCACTCATTTGCTCTTTGCATCCTTTGCCAGCTGCCTTCCACCATGGGACTTCACCAACACTGAGCTTAGGCAGGCCCTAGCTATGCCTTTGAACCTCCAAAACAGGGAGCTGGGCCCCCTCCTTTTGTGCAGACCCTATCTGCAGAGCTGATTGATAGAGGGCCTTTCCTCTACCATCAGCTCCAAGTGTGCTCTCCTTCCTTCCCCTCTCATGACCTGTGCTCCCACTGCTCTGTCCCCTCCCGCCATGTCCCACAGTACTGCAGGGACGAGCTCCTTTCTGTTCCCAGCCTCCTTCCTGATGACCTCATCTTATCTTTAGTGAAACTGGGGCTCTTCATTTCCCCACACACTTTCTTGTGAGGCTGTTTCCTCTTTGGGAGGCACTGTCTTAGTTATTTCTCTTGTTGCTTAATGCAAAATACCTGACACTCAAAGTTAAAGAAGGAAAGGCTTATTTAGCTAACAGTTAGTAGAGGGTTCAGTCCCTAATCAGCTGGCTCCAAGGCAGGGTGGCTCAAGACAGCAGCATCGCAGAGGAGAAACAGTTCATGGAGGGCAGAAGTTAGCAAAGTAACAAGGGACAACCACAACTCTTTCTTTCCGAACTGTGTCTCATCTCGGCCACTCATGAGGGGGAGCACTCAGCCCTTTAATCCCAGTGCCTTCGAGCCTAGCACTGCACCATGAATCAATCCCAGCATCATATGCTTTGGATCCAGCCACCTCTGAAAAAGCCCTACCTGTGACTGCATCAGGCTTTGGGGGACATCTAGATACAGCCATAGCAGGCACTATGAGCAGACTTCTGCTCCTGTGTGTCCAGCTCTCTCTTGTGTACCCCTAAGGACTGGGGTGCAACTTCCCAGTGTTTTGAGCACTGTGGGCCTGAGCCTTGCCCTTCAGTGCCCTCGTATGCTCCTGGCCTCTTCCCTCCCACCTCCCACTCCGGACTCCTGCCAGCCTGTGTTCTCCACACTCTTCCTCCTCTGCCTGCATCCCTGATGGACCTTCTGTAAAAACTCACCATCTTCCCCTTCATTGAGAGACCAGTGAACACGTACAGAAAACCATGCCCTGGGACACAGCTGGTCCTGGAGGCCAGAGTGCCTTCCCTATTTCCACCAGCCAGAGCATCTTTCACTCTCTCCCCTCATCAGATTCTAAACCCACACCTTTAGCCCGGGTTCTGTACTTATATGGACCTTCTTCATTTTAAAGTGCAGCCTTCCTTTTCCTTCACAGAGAAAATTAGGTGTAACATCCAAATCAGGCATGAAATCTAAGTTCCTTCCGTAGCCATAAAGGCATCTTCCCACCTCTTCAGTCCTTCCCAGCCAGCTTGGTGCCAGGACTGCTTCTCTCCCATGGCCCTGGCCAGCAGCCTGCAGGTCTGGCCAATGGGGGCACCTGCAGGGGGCTAGATGGTGAGAAAAGAGAGAGGCTGGGGATATCTTCTCTGTTCCCTTCTCTGCCAGTTATCTTAGGCCTCCAAAACCACAGCTCCCGAGCCAGCTTCTCTTCCAGAATCCCAGCTGGGATTCCACTGGCTCTGGCCTGACTCAATTTCCTTCCTGTTCCTTCTGACACAGTGGTAGTAATAGCTTCCAGCTCCCACACATCCTTGGAGTGTCCCTCTCTTTTGGGCCACCTTAACCCCACCTCTAACGTGCCCTTTTAATGAAAGTGTCTGCAGCTGAGAGGGGAAGTCCTGTCTCTCACTTGGGTGCTGAGCATATGCTTGTCAAGTCCTCCATCCTCCAGGAGCTCAGGGGCAATGGCTCCCCCAAAGTTCCTCAGCTTCCCATTTGGTTCACACTCTTTCTGTAAACACACTTTTACTCTTCCACTGCCGGCTTTGTACTTTCTGTTGCACTCCTGTCTGTTCCATTTTATCGTATCTTTCATTTCACTCGATCTGCTAAAGCATAGGGTCTTACTCATTTTTCCTCTCCCACTCAGCACGGCCCTCCTTGCTAAGATAATCCAGTGATGGTACAAAGAAGGGGTCCCACAGCTATTTTACAAAATCTACCTGAATTGGGGTGATACATGGTCATGAACTGGCTTTGGAGTCAGGTCACTCGGCCAGTTCCTAACCCTATGGTCCTGGCGTATTTCGTACAACCCCCACCCCATGCTTGGGATCTTTGTGCAAAATGAGCTGTAAACTATCCACCTATCATAGATGTGCATTGCTGGTACACCAGGACTCTCCACAGAGGTAGTCACAGTGGTCACCACTGCTTTTGTCTTGAAATCCACTCTTCTATAGCACTGATCAAATGAGGCTGCCATATTTGTCCTCCAAGTCCTGACCCCCCCCCCACACTCCGGTTCCCCAGACTAGAAAGTCTGGCGTTTTCAAGGGTGGCCCTCCTGTCCTGCTTATCAGGACAGGCTCTCTTCCTGCTGAGGCCTCAGAGCTCAGGAAGCTCATGTGCATTTCACAGCTCCCGTCCCTTTCTAGCAGGGCAGGACCTGGCTCAGCCTGGCTTTCCAGGTCAGGAGTGTGGGCTCTTCTCAGCAGGAGACGCTGGGCTGCAAGGTGCTGGGGAAGGGGAGGGGGACAAAAAGCTACCATTATCAGTTCCTTCAGGGGCTAGGAGGCAGGACGCTGTCCTTTGCATTATCACATGGTCTCAGTTCATTTTCTGCCATAACACAATCCCACAGAGTGGGTGAGTTATAAAGAAAAGAGGTTTATTTTTATAGTTTGAAGTTCTGTCCCAAGGTTAAGGACCTGCAGCTGGTGGCAGCCTTGCAGGCGGAGTCCTGAAGTGGAGTGGTACAAGGTGTGTGTCTGTGTGTGTATGTGTGTGTGTGCGTGTGCCATGGCCTCTCTCATGCTTGTTAGTCCACCCTGTGATTTGATCTAATCAAAGCCCCTTCTGGAGGCCCTAGCTCAGGATGCACAGCTAAATTAACTATTCCTCTCCTTTCCGCCTGACCTGACCATGAGGACTGGAGTCCCACTTGCATTTTTGGGGAGATCAAACCATATTATAACCATAGCATGGATGAAACACTGCTTTGAAATTTGTCTTTGCCCAGCCCAGTCGTCTTCTCCTGCCCCCATTGGAGTTTTCCAGGGCTGATATACTGGGACCTTGGGTGTTGGCCTAAAGGAAGCACCCAAACTCCCCAGTCCAAGCAAAGGATTCCTGCGAGGGGTCCTGAGCCATCTGCAGGGCTTGGTGGCTGCTGTAAATGCAGGAAACCTTTGGGCTTCTCTGCTTCTTTAGTGGCTCTAAAACTACCATCTTCCAGCGAAGTGGCTTTATGTATACTTGCCTTCTTGGAGAGTTATTTTTTGTCTTTGAGACAGGGTCTTTCTATGGAATTCAGGCTGGCCCTGAGCTCTCTTTGTAGTGTATAGACTGGTCTTGAACTTGCAACGATCCACTTGCTTCAGCCTCCTGAGTGCTGGAATTACAGGCGTGAGCCACCATGCCTGGCCCTTTTTGGAATTGTAATCACCTTCTTTGAATATATACATATATTCATACACAGTCATTTATTCTGTTACTCATATTTTTAAATGTCCTATTTCCATCCATTGACCCAATCATAATAAAAGAACTCAAATTCTCCTATTGGCTAAAGGGTTAACCATGGAGCTTCACCCCCCCCCTTCCTTGGAGATTAATAATGTGTACAAGGGTCCTCTATTCCTTTATCGAAAGAATCAAGGGCAAGGGCTGGTTCTGAATGTGTGCACAGTGTACATTCATAATAAAAGCTGAGCCGAATGGCACATTCATGGCTGCTCTTTGATGTAACTGAACATGTGAATGAAACTTTGGGGCATAGCTCACCTCCAAGGGAGTGGTCCTGTTCACACTCAGACCTGACCCGGGGATCATACATTTCCCTGCAAAACTACTTTTTTCTCTCTCCATGGCAGCCACCCTCTTCCTCCCAGTATCTTTGTAACCCAGCTGGGTGCATTTTTCTCTTCTCGTCTCTTTTTTTCCCACACTGCTGTTGGAGAAAAGATCCCGCCCTTGATTGAAATGGAATCTTCCACTATTGAGCGAGCCTTTGTTGAATGAGTCATCAGCGCGGCCGCTGATTGGCTAAGGACTCCGGAGCCTAGGGGATTGCCTGGCACCGACTGCAAGGCCCGGCTTCATTCACAGAAACGCTGGCTCGCTCGCTAGCCCTTTCATTCACACAAAACAGCATTTCATTCACATTTTGCGGTTTTTGTCTGCTTCTAATGAAGATCAGGATTTGGGAATGACAGGGCTATTTTGCTTCGGATTTCAGAGGCGCTCTGATAGCCATCAAAGCCCTAGATGGGGCGTGCATTTGCTGTTGCTATGCGAGCCAGGGGCAGAAAAAGAAAAAAAAAAAAAAAAAAAAAAAAAGAGTGCGGGTGGTTTTCTGCTAAGGCTGCAGCTCAAAGGGAGAGCCGCGGGGACGCGGTTCCTGCGCCGAGGAAAGCGTGGCCCAGGACGCTCCTGCGACCCTGCTGCCAGCCTCACCCGCGCGCCAACCGCAGGAGGCGCTCCTTAACCCTGCGGTACAGTGCACCGTGCAAAGCCGAGGACGCAAGTGCCACACGTGCTCAGGCCTGGCCATGAGAAGACTCGGGCGAGCTGGTAGTGCACTAGAGGCGAATTCACTCTTTTGCACATGAGTTGCCAGGAAACTTTGATAGTGAGTGTTGCACGGCGGGGGCAGGCTGCCTTTAACGCAGGAGCCAGTGGCAGAACCCCTGGCGGGAAGGAGCCTTGGGCCTAGGGCTCGGGCAGGTCTCCCTGGCCTGCCGGCGGCCTGTTTTCCTAGCCAGAGGAAGAGGCCTGTGCGGCTCACTCCAAGCCTGCGCCGCCTCCAGACAGCAGCCCTCCCTCCGGATTTGATGGCACGGCTGCTTCTCCCCTTCCTGAGCAGGGCTGCAGGCCGCAGCCAGGGCCTTTGAGACGTCTCTCTCGGTAGCTTTTCCAAGGCATTTTCCCGGAGCTTACACACATTCACTTAGAAGAAGGCTCCAAACGCAGCTTTGGAACGGATTTCTGGAGCCTGTTGCCACTCGTCAAAGGAACGCTCGTCCTTTTTGGAAGTAGCTTTTTCAGCTGAAAGCTGACTGAGAAAACCTGCTGCAGATTAACAGGGAAGAGCCCACCGAGCCGCCCTGTGCAGAAGTCATACGCAGATTGGTTTTTTATTTAATTTTAATTTTTTTTTAAGGAACTGCATTGCCACAAAGACACCCGTTATGGCTGCTGTGTCGATTTGAAAGGAGAAAAAGGAAGCCCCAGGGATTTGCCTTTTTATGTTCACCTGAGAGGAGGGGGCGAACTGTCATTTTCTTTTTTGTATGCAAAAATTCTTGCTGCTTCTTAGATCAGAATTCAGGAGGATTCACTGAAGACTTCATCTTAAAAAGCCTTAGTCACATTTTAATGCATCGCTGTCACACACTTTTCGGGCTCAGGCAGATGAGCTGAGCAGGGAGAGAAAAACCTCATCGGAATCCTGGGGTCTCAGAAAGTTCATTTGCTCCTCGGGAGGAACTGGGTCGAGCTTTGGCACCAATGCGGAACGGGGGGGGATGGGAAAGTGAAAAAATCAAAGGTTGGAAGGAAAAAAATCTGGGAAGGTAGAGAAAGGAAATTTGAGAATTGATTGGCTCCAGTGGCTGTCAGCGGGTGGATGTCGTTTTTTTTTTTTTTCCTCTCTCCCTTTTTTTTCTCCTACAGGAAGTGATTTGCAGTGCTCACCGAGCCTTTGTTGAAAGGGGCTCCTCGCACAGTGAGTCATGCTTTTGCTGAGAGCAGCCCGTGCAGCTGGGCTCGGGCTCCACCAGAGGCAACTATGACTTTTGCGAGGCAGACGTTCCACCCCGAGCAGCGCGCTCCGGGGCCGGGGCTGCGCGGCCGCCACCGGGCTGGCTTTTGATGGTGGAGGGAGGGCCCGGTGCGCGGACCCCGCCGTCCCCCCGCAGAAGGCTGTCCCGGGACCTCGGCTCTTCGTCCCGCCCCGGGGCCCGCGGCTCGCCTGCTATGCGCGGCAGCCCGCGCCGGGGCCGGCAGCAGCGGCGCCCGGGCGGATGCGGCGAGCCCACGGAGGGGCATGCTTCCCCGCACCAAGTACAACCGCTTCAGGAATGACTCGGTGACCTCAGTCGATGACCTCCTGCACAGCCTGTCGGTGAGCGGCGGCGGCAAGGTCTCGGCGGCGCGCGCGACCCCCGCGGCGGCCCCCTACTTGGTGTCCGGCGAGGCGCTGCGCAAGGCGCCCGACGATGGGCCCGGCAGCCTGGGCCACCTGCTCCACAAGGTGTCCCACCTGAAACTCTCCAGCTCCGGCCTCCGCGGCCTGTCGTCCGCCGCCCGGGAGCGGGCGGGCGCGCGGCTCTCGGGCAGCTGCAGCGCGCCCAGCCTGGCCGCCCCGGACGGCAGCGCGCCCCCCGCACCCCGCGCCCCGGCCAGCATGAGCGCGGCCAGGAGGGGCCGGCCGGGCGACGAGCCGCTGCCCAGGCCGCCCCGCGGGGCGCCGCACGCCAGTGACCAGGTGCTGGGGGCCGGAGTCACCTACGTGGTCAAGGTGGGTACGGGCGCGAGCCGCCCCGCGGGGTCTGGGCCCAGGGCTGGGCTGGGGGCAGGAGGAGGCAGACCCCCCTGAAGTCTGGGGCGCGGGGACCCGCGGCCGCCGTCGCGTTGGAGGCGAGGAAACGCGCACTCCTTAGCTGTCAGCTCGCTTGGCCGCGATGAGCAGTGAACTACAGAGGCGCCTTTCCGCGTCCTGGGGAGAGGGCTGAGTGTGCGACCTCGCTCTGACCTGCTTTTCCTGGGAGCCACCCCTTTGGCATGTTTGGCCACCTGGCTTCACAGATTCCCGGCCAGTGTCCCTTCTGCCGCCAGTGCCCATCTGTGAGTCCTGGGGGGTCCAGCCTACCTGGTGTTTAGGAAACACACTTGGTACCTGGGCGACCCCTTCTAGGGATGAGAGGCGCAGAGTGCCACTACTTCTACTCGGTCCTCCTGCTGCGGGGGAGAGGGGTGGGCTGGCTACTTCGTGTCCCCATAGCCAGAATCGCCAGCTCCTGCCAGGACAGGCCAAAGGCTGTCTTGCTTTCTGAAAGACGAGTTCTACTTTCTCACCAGCAAAGCTTTTCTTGGCGTTTGTCTTTCATTTCCCACCAGATGTTACTGGGTTACAGCAGAAGAAGGAGCACTGGGGACTATTTTCCCAGAGACTGCAGTCTTCCATTTAAATGGGCCCAAGGGCAAGACAGTGGTAGCCTGGAGCCACAGGCTGGAGAGGAGTTTTTCTTCCAACACCACAGGATTACGAAATCACGATGTGGTTCATAAAATTCCTCCTGCATGCGAGAGTGTTATGGTATTTAAGGAGGAAATATTAGCACGGTTCAGTTTATCTGCCAAATGCTTATTTCCTCCCTGCCATCAGCCCACAGCCAGCTATAGGTCTGGCAGGTGGATGGACTTCCCTTAGACAAGGTGGTGGTGGTGGGGGAGGGCACATGGCCTTATTTCAATCCTATCACTCCAAAGAAATGAGACCCAAACGCTGCCCTTGGCATGTTAATAACATGGAGAGACCTGCAGGGCGTCTGGTCTGTATATGCTGGCTGCAGATCCAGTGTTCAAATCCCATAGAGCACAGCCTCAGGTAAAATGTAGTGTTTTGGCAATTTTGGAATCAGATTTAAAAAAAAAAAGAGGTAACTTCATGGGTTATCTTTACTTATATAAAGGTACACATAATGTAAACACTGATGTTAAAAGAAGGCCTCTGCCCCCTCTGAGTCTGCGTTTTAACTTGACCTACTTCTTAGCTTCCGAATATGGATTATTATATTTTAACAAAAGGGACATAAGAGCTGCAAGAAGGTTAAGGTTTTTTTGTTGTTGTTACCAGGGATCAAACTCACAACCTAACACTTACCAGGCAAGTGCTTGAACCACTGAGCTAAATCCCTGGCCCCAGAAGGTTGAGTTTCATCTGAAGAGAAAATATCTAATCTCACGTTGCTTATTTATCTATCTAGGGGCCAAAACCACAAAATAAAACTGAACAAAACCCCTGACAACTTTGAGGTTAAGCAGTGACCCTAAACTATATTATTTCTACAGTTAGTGTAATTGCTTTTTTAAAAGCCTTCCTTTGAAATATGTAAATCGATCTTGGCAAAGCTTTTTATAAGTCACATGAAGCACAGAGGGTAGTTTTCAAACTGAGGACATTTCTCAAACTTATACCTTCAAAGTTTTCCTTAAAATTCAGGGCATTGCTTTTCCTTCAGCACAAAGGTAGACATCCAATTCGAAAGGTCAAACGTGGCAAAATAATGATGATCCTACTAGCGCAAGTCTGCTCTGCGTGGGCGCTCTGTGGATACAAGGGTTTTTGAGTTACCAGGGTCAGCAGTGGTGGTCCAGGAGCCAGAGTGCTGGCCAATCTGCGTGGAGCCTGGCTGGGTCCTGCAGGATGCAGGGACCCAGGGGCACAGAGCAGAACAAACTCCTCATGGGTGCTGTGAACAGTGTTGAACTCAAGCGTGGTCCCTGCTTTCCTGGGGAAGTTTGGGATCACGCAGAAAGGGAATCAGATGCCAAGGACAATGTCTTTTGTTGTGTGCACATTTGATTCAAATGATCACATGGCTCTCTGTTGGTGCCCATGTGCCAATTCCCACAGTGTGCAAGAGAAGTTTAAAGCTGAGAACTTAGTGAATAGAACGATCGTGAAGTTACATAAACCTCCTTTATGTTGGCATTATTTACCGATTCATGTGAATGGTGCCAAGACAGAAATGGGCAATTTCAACCATGTGACTCAGCAGCAATTCTAAAATGTGAAGGTTTAGAGTTCGGGAAAAATGCTATTTTGTAAAACTCTCTTCAATATAATTTTTTTTTTTAAATCAAAGAAAGCCCCAGATGGTTTCCAGCTTTCTGGAAAAGCCGTGTACTAAATCACTGTACTTTGCCCTCTCATAGAAATGCCCACTGCTGGGTGGTATGGCCCCTTGTACACATGAATGATCATTCACAAATATTTCCACTTAATCTGCTTCCAGGAGAGGGGGAGTATAAAATGCAAAGCCTAGTGGGTTTGATCATCTAGGAAATATCAAAGTGTTCCAGCAGCAGCTGCTAACACTAATGAATGAAGGGTTGAGAATTTGGAATAAGAAGTCCCTCAGCAACACTAGAGTTCTGAGCTCATGGTGGGGTTAATGGGTCCTTCCTGCCACCCCTGGGCTTGCTGTCACATAGGAGGAGTTTATACACCCCAAGGGGTCTCACAGCTTGTGTTCCTGTCCTGCAGGACTTATTGACAACACCTTCTTATCCCTTAGGACGCCTAACACTTGTTGGTAATGTTAAAGACAGAACAAGAAAATACACCCTTAATAGGAAAGGAAAAATCCTACAGAGGAGATCAAAGGCTATTTTCACCCGATTTCTACTTAAAAACTACTTTATACCATGACCTAAATGTCCAATAGTAATACAAATGGATATTAATTATAGTGCTGCCCACCTTTTAATTCTGTTATCCTGCAGTCGAAGCCCAGCACTGAGCCTGGTGGCCTGCAGCTTCTGCTGGTCCTCAGCCGGTTCAAAGGCAACATGGTGGTCTTCCAGATGCTGAGTGCAGGTCTGCCCAGGAGAGATTTTGGGAAGGACAGGGAAAGGTGCCTGTTGCAGGGCAGCGAGTGGGCATGGTCAGCTCTTAAAGGGCCGCTGGGAGGAAGCAGCTGAGCCTTTTGAAGACAAGCAAGTCCTGCGCCTCAGCTTTGCAACTGCTGATGGGGCTGAGGCTGGAGGGAGCTGACGCCATGTGCAAGGCATGGGCTGCACCTGATCAGCCTTCAGCCCCCAGGTGGACCCCGCAGAAGGGCTCCTCCTCAGCACACACCACAGACTTAAAATAGGGTACAAGGGGGTGAGCGTGTACTTCACATGGTCAAGGCCGTAGGTCGCATCCTCAGCACCTAAAAAGAACAGAATAAAAAGCAGCACAACTGGGACTGAACTGGGTGCCAATGGTAAAAACCAGGAGGCTGAATTAAAAAGCCAAGGATTAGCCAGATGTGGGGTGCACACCTGTAACCCCAGGATGAGGCAGGAAGATCATTGCAAGTTTGAGGCCAACCTAGATTACATAGGAGGCCCTGTCTCAAAACAAAAACAAAACAGAACAACCAAGCATTCAAGGGCTGTCTGCTCAGAGCTGTTGTTACAGTGGCTAGCACTTAACGCAAGTAGACCACGCCATTCATGAATTTTGGTGATGGTGCCATCAAACTTACACACCTTTCAGCCTACTGATGATGAAAATGGCAAACTACCTCTGATTCTGACAGTCACAAAGCAGTGAGTCATCCCTTGGTGGACTGGACTACTTTGCTTTCAAAGCAAAGAACTGTGTGTGCCAGGGTGCTTTAAAAGTTATCTCTACCTTTTATGAATCTGATGATGTCTTAGAATGTATAAATTATTCATTTTATCTATAAATGTTCTATTTCTTTATTAATTGAATTTTTAAATTTTAGAATTGAATTTTATTTGAATTTTTAAAATTTTAAATTGAAATTTTAAAATACATAGGTACACAGTACCTTTCTCCCTCCATAGGAATGCTTTACATTGCCTTTTTCTTAGAGTTTTTTTCTGTAACTGTGAACAAAGATCAGACAAAATAGCATAGATAAAGTTATTTTAAGTTTTCCATGATATATCATTGTAGGCGAATTGACTTAATTTTATTTTAGTTCTAGTTTGCCAAATTGTTCTTTGATTTAAAGTTGAATTTTCTTCCTAAGTTGTTTAAAAATCACATAATACGCATGTAACTATTGTCCAGAGGGCTTGAAAAAATAATTTAAGAATCTCTTTTGACATTAATGATAAATTACTGATTTGGTCTAGAAAGTGTCACCTCTTTTTATGTGACACAAGCATGGGCGTGTTCAATACACACACACTGTACAATGCACATTATCCTCTGCACATCACACATACACAAACACTGCATATGTACACACCCCACAACAGCACACAGCACACCACCTCAATAGGAGATATACACACGTAACACACCTCACACAGCACACACAGGCACACAATATCCTTTCTCCCTCCACAACCGAGGGTAGACAAACTGATGTTTTTGGAAGGGGACCGCTTTCTTTCTCATTAGAAAATAGCAAATGTCATGTTTCCAGAAATACCCAATGACCTCATCCGCTTCGGTTATATTCACGTTGAAGAACAAAGTCATTCTGAAAGATAAGCTATTAGAGAAACTTTGGCCCTATAAATTTCAGACTTGTGTTTCTCTTCCTCCCATCAAATCTGATCTTTGAATAGAGGTCAGATCTCTAAAGACTGTCTGATAATACTATTTGAACCAAGTTCCAGTTACTGGAAGTCTAGGCTGCCAACATGGATAGCGGTGGAGAGATGGACATTCCAGCAGCGGGCTGGTCACATAGGCTGTGCCAAGCCTGGGGCCTTGGCTCTGGTGACACCTGAGTTCCAGTGCAGCTTGGGGTCCAATGGTCAGCTCAC